CATTATAATTTCATAAATATTTCTGTATGTTAATTACAGAATTAATCTCAAATTACTATTCAATATCAGTGACTAAAAAGCCAATATTCGGTAACTCTTAACGACAGCGTAAGTGTCATTACATTTTCATTACGTAGATTTTATATATGTACACAAGTTATGCAACGACAATATAATACTAACACTGTCATTAGAAGTTAGAGAATAAGAGCCTAATTTAAGAATAAATATAAACATGCAAACTTACAAATTTAAAATTAAAATTAATTATTTTTGTCAATCAGTTTAACATTTAAAAGATATATAAATTCACATGCTATAAATGGAGATAAAAAATTAATATCATATTAGGTATATGTTCATTCTTTTTCATGAAAGTCAAGCAATTTTAGATGTCAAGGAACTTTGCGGTTCAGTGGAGTCCTAATCTGTGATGAAAATTTGAAATTTCCAAAGCGAAGGAGGCTCTTCTCGGCCAGGGTCGTATTTGAAAGTTAAAACACAGGTTCGAGCCAACGGAGAACATGAGCAGAACGACGTGGTTTTGTTTGTTCGTTTCATGAATTTTTCACAACCGTCGCCATTATTATATCCCTACACTAGTCCCGGGTTTACATCGATATCAGTGAACGACTACTACCTGCAGCAGCAGAAAAACATAACCCATTGCTGTCATGTAATATACGCTCACGATAAAATAGCGAAAAATTCTTCGGTAAAATTCACAAATATTAATTAGAATCTAATCTATTGTAATTTGCTAAACAATTCTCGTTTTATGCTCGATCTTTCACAATAACTTAAAGAAACACGATTGAACTTCGAATAATGTGGACATACATTATCTATAATGCGTAAGTCTAAATTTGAAAAGTTCCATTTCAAAAATAAAAAGATCACGACGAGCATAGACGTGACTTGAGATACCGGTAATTTTACCGAGATATAAAGAATTTCTTATGTTGCATTCAAGCGTATACTCAACCGCAAGCGGGCAAACTATCTTCCATAAAATTGCAGCGTTACAGCATAAGTCGTGGTTTTATGGTTCGACTATCGTAATATAAAAGATTTCGTAGCAGATGCTGTTACGCCAAGATAGTAAACCAAAAAAAGTTTCCTCAACAAATTGCGACCACCAACTGATGTGTTGGAAGTCGACGAGCATATAATATAAATTGTATCCGCGTTATGTCACCGTCATATGCACGAGTATAATTTACGATGGCGTGGGTTTTCGCAAGCGAAATATTTACAGATATGAGTTATTTGAAATTAATGACATTTATAGCCTGCGAGTATTTTTATAATTTTAAATCTATGCATTAAAAATTGACCGCAAATATAGATAGAAGGAAAACCTAAAACTACCCACTAGATTAAAAATATATTCATGCAAAGTTTTAATTGTAATAGGCAAAAATAGTATAATTATAAAAAAAGCAAGCCTATATAAATGTCCCTATGTAAATGATTAGCAACAGATTTTACAAATTTCATGCGTGTGCGAAAGCACCTTTAAGGCAAAATAGAATAAAAGGAAGCCCTTAAAATCTTCCACGAATGAAGTGAGGAGCTTACATGAAAAATCACTTGCATAGACATAGTATATTTAGGATGCTTTCCAGCAAGCGACACAGATGACACAGTGTAACACAGTGAATCATTACATTCTTGTTGTATGCAAATGTTAAACAAACATGAGATTATGTTACGCTATATGCCTTTGCAAAAAGCATTAATAATATATAGACCAACATACTAAGTATGGTTTTGTTCATGTAAAAGAAAAAGAAAACACAACTCAAGTCTTTTGTCTCTCTCTCTCTCTCTCTCTCTCTCTCTCTCTCTCTCTCTCTCTCTCTCTCTCTCTCTCTCTCTAACTATGGTTATTCTCTATCTATTAGAGAGAAAAGAGAGACCCCGAGTTGTGTTTTCTTTCTCTCACACGTAAGAGAGCCTCACATGCTCTATTCATATCATGTTTATGATTATTTGCATCAACAATTTCGAAGTCTTTTCGACAACATTCTTAACAAAAAAAGCATCAGTGACTTACTCTCTAAACGTTTTAAAATAAATTTCACCCCAAAGAATTTAGAGAGTAGAATTTCATCAATACCGTTTCACAAGTACAAACGTTTACACAATACAACAATAATCGAACACAAGTAGAGAAGAATGGCACAAATTCATTAATTACCTAGAGGACCCTTTGACTTCCACAGGCCTTTGATGAGAGTGGGATCGCCGCGACGCCAATCGCGCCATCCCCGACCCCGACGAGTAGGCCCCTTGTCGGCCCACCTTGAACCGGTCTCGGAAGCTGCGGCACCGCCGCCGGCTGCACCGCCGCCGGCTCCACCGCCGGTCGATCCACCAGTAACGCCGAGACCGAAAGTGGCAGCTCCGGCAGCGCCGGTGGAGAAACCGGTAGCTCCTCCGCCACCGCCGCCGCCGCCGCTTCCGGTAGCACCACCGGCAGAACCACCGCCGCCGGGGCCCGGGGTGCTCGGCGACGAACCGGCCTGCGGTTGACCGTGGCTCCCAGTACTTCCACTCTGTGGCATCGGCGCTCCCGCCGCTTTTTTGGCCGATCCGGAAATTTCCAGGAAGCAGCATGAAATGAATACAGTAGGACGTGCGCACCGTTAAACTATCGATTCGCGTTCGATTGATCAATGGGAGGATTTCATGGCGGATTGTGCAGTCTTCCTCCGATTCATCTACCTTCGCTTATCTAACGAAAATCGCTCGGAAGAGTTGCGGTTGTCATAATTGTTATTTTAAAGGAATGATGTTTGACTTTGTTCTCACCTTTGTCGACTCTTCAGAGAATCGCAAACTGCGAAAGCCAGCAAAGAAAATATTTTCTTTTTTTTTTTTTTTTTTTTTTTTAAAAA